CCATAGTTTGAGTTACTGTAATTGTCCTGCATTCACTCAGCCTGTGGCTAAATATGCTGTTCTTTTAAAGGCGTAAAATATTTGTACGTGACATGCATCAAAATGGAGAATTAAGAAAAGCAATGTTTTCTGAGCTTGGCAAATGTACTACTGTATTGTAGTCATTTAAAAAAAAAAACTAATTGAGAGTTATAGATTCAACTATGCATTAGTATTTACCGTTAACAAGAAATCTGAAGGGAACTGGTGTTTTTATATTACCTTCTCCTTTCACTCTCAAGTTTTCACATACTTTTGATTACTTATGGCTCTAAATTTTTTATTTCATTGCTAGTTTCTCCAACTATTTCATACTGGCGTATGTCTGAAGCGTGTGGTGGGTTAGGACACATCAGGAAAATAGGTGGGGGGGGGGGAAAGAGACCCTTCAGAGTAGGGATTTTTTTAGCTGTGCTTTTATACTTTTTTAGATAAAAATGCTTAGAATAGTAAGGATACCGGAATATAATGCTTGGTTTAGTATGGATATACGATATACTCTGAAATATAACTTGTAAAATATGTGAGATTCCATGTTTACCTCCTCACAATATCAGATGGACGTTTAAAGTTTACTAAGGCCTGGTCTCCACTACGTAGGTTGATGTAAGGCAGCGTACGTCAATCTAATTATGATGTAAGTGCCCTACTACATCAACATAATAAATCCACCTCCATGAGAGGCATAGGGCTTATATCAGTGTAGTTAGGGCAACACTGTGTTTGTGTAGATACTGTTACTTACAAAGGCAGTTGGCTGTCTTGTTAATTTCAGGGCTCCATGTTGGAGCTGTGAAATTGACAAGAAAGCCAGGAAGCTGGAGCCCTGCTGCTACTGTCTCCCCGATCAGGGAAGCGAGACGCCCGGGCGGCTGCATCCCCCACTCCCAGCAGGGAACTGAGTGGAAACTGCACAGGCTTTCAGCCCCCCACACTGCCCCCTCTTCAGTCAGTGGAAGCACTCCTGGTGAGGATGCACACCACTGGCAGAAGGAAGGTAGCATAAACATCAGCCACTGACTGGCTGTAAGTGGACCTAACATAGGTCGACTTAAGTCTGTAGTGTAGACATGCACTGAGAAAATATGATCAGTGCTTGAGGTAGGATGCTGAACTATTTACCAGCATGTCACCTTCAACCTAGGATCTGAAAGTTGGATGTTTGTTGTGCTATACATAACTACCATGAAAAATTGAGTTAATAACTTTGAACTTAGTTAAGAACATTTTGCTCTTCTGTAGTATCTTCCATTTAAGTCTCAAAAGCATCTTACAGACATCGAATTTCTCCCCACAGTACCACTCGAGGCTTGGAAGTATTTTTATTCTTCTTTTGCATGTGGAAACTGAGATAGAGAGAGGTCATGAGACTTACCCAAGATCACACAGGAAATCTATCAGAATTGGTCCTGTCTCCCGACCCCATGTGTTAGCCGTAAGACCTCGTTTTTCCACAGAGAAGGGTATTGATGTTTGAACTGGAAAAGAACCTATCTCGCTTGCTTAGCTGAAGATGCACAGGGAACAGATATATTGTCAGACGATGCCTGTTTTCAATAGTTACTTTCTGGATTACACATAGTTATTTTATATACATCTTTTTTTAGCTGAGGAAGTATCAACTGTTAGCCAAAAATCATGGAATTTCCCTGCTGATAGTCCACTGACCATTGTTCTCGTCATTTAAGACTGCTCTTAACTGTATTCCCTCCCCTTATATCTACCTGATAATATTACTGTCATCTTATAGTTTGATTCCATTTGTTCTTTTTCTCATCTTACAACCAAAAAACCGATAAATGAAAATATTTCATTTAACATTGGCAATTGAGGTATATATTGAGCTGTAGGTACATGTGTATTGTAGGAACACACCATAGAACAAATTCTTTATCTTTAGCCACAAATGCTCAAATTACTTTTATGAAAAATATAGTTTCTGTCCATCTTAGTTTGGAAAGGTGACAATGTAAAACTCAAAACATAGTTTTCTTCTAGTGAAGAGAATATTGTAAGTGAAAAATTACAAACAAAATAATAAAAAAGAGTAAAGAATTTGTACCATAAATTGCTATTGCATTATTTTAAACATGAACTAATGCTTTCTTATTTTGTACTAGGGTGAGCAGAAACTAAGTGGTGTCTAAACACAACATAGACAAATGGAAAGCAATCTTTATTTTTTTAAATGGGAAAACATTTTACTATTTCATCCTGTAATAGTCTTTCAGTGTAATTAGTCTTTCAGCCCCCCTTCACTTCTTAAAGTTGGTTCTGAACAAGGGGAAAGAGAACAGTGTTCAGGGGCAAAAAAAACTTCAGTAGACTGGCTATCTTGTTTATAGTCCAAATATTTATTTTTGTATTTATAAAGTGCCTTCAAGTTACACGTAGGCACTAATACAAATTTTTACAAACTATGATGGACTCTCAATATGGCTTATAAAACTAAGCAGCTTTTCTCTCTCTCTCTCTCACACACATACACACTCTCACACACAGCACCTGATTGCTAACAAATCCTCTGCCAGTCACAGTGCCAGACTAAACTGATGGATGTTGCAACCTGTCCTAAAATGCTGCCAAACTGTGGCAGACTTTAAAGAGGAACAAATTCCAAAGATGAGTCTGTTAGAGGATACCTTGCTGCCAACCCTAGAGTTCAAGTGCCAAGCCACATAAGGTTTAGCTATTAACCCCTTGGATTAACCCTTCAGCAAGCAGAATTCCAGTACCGAGAAGTGTTATGTGCTGTGTATGTCTTGTTCACACTTGTTAAACAATATTCTGGACTAGTTGAAACTTCTGAATAACTCAAATAAAAAGTACATTACAGTGGTCCAGCCTGGAAGTGCCAAAGGTATGGCTAAGCACTGAGGTCCTACTCAGAAAGGAAGGGCTGTATTCTTTGGGTCAGCTGTTGATTGGGGAAGGTATCTTGAGCCATTGCTCTTAACTGAACATCAGGGCCCAGTGCTGGATGCATTATGAACCCATGATAGCATATCACATAATTAAGGAACAGCATACATCCTTAATGGAGGGAACAGTCTGCCCCCAACCATCTCTCCAGATGTCTTCCCAATAACCAGCAGCATTATTTCCGTCTTGTCTAGCTTTCATCCAGAATGCTATCTCTGACAAGTATCAACTGGAAAGCAAACTGTATTTGAAGGAAAACCAAAAATGGGTATCAGCACAGTGGTAAAGCAGCAGCCCCAAAGTCTGTTTCCCTCAGTCACCTTCATGTACATGTAGAGGAAATGGCTATGAACGTCATCATTTTCAGAACTAAATGAGATTTATTTCTTCAGTGCAGCTTTCACTTAATCCAAGCAGCATACCCACTCTCCCATGCAAATATCATAAACTAGTCTAGCAATTTTTCCTACAGGCTTTGAAAGAAGAGAGATTGTTCTTTTTAATACTTTGAAAATGCTCATACACTGTGGTTGTGGTACCATCTGAGTAGTTAAATTGAATACAAAAGGTGGCAAGATAGAATACAGCTCGACCTCTAAAATCAAATTGCTCAGTGTTCCCTGGGAGGAACAAACACAACCACTGTAATGCAGCTTGTTCATACCTACTAGTACTTGCCTTGTGGTCAGTCATATCAAAGGTTGCTAAGAGTAAACAGTATCTGTATGGACTCATGCTTTCTTTCCGTTATTACCCGAAGATCAACCAAAAAATCAGTGCAGTGTCTGTGCCTTACGTAGTTTGAAAACCCAGTGTAATAAAGATTAGGGGAAACCAGAGAAGTCTTAAATAATGCAGAAGCTGACTAACCACTACCTTCTGAGTAACCTTCCTGTAAAGGAAGGTTTGAGTGACCATAGATATAGTTTGTTTTTATTAAAATAAATAATAAAAGTGAATCAAATAATATAACTATTACCCAAATGTATCAAGCATTTTTCCCCCCCCCAATAAAGGTACTATTGGAGGTTGCAGGATGGTTTTCTACTAAATCAAAGGTATATGGCTGTAAACCTGGCACTGTGACAACAAATAGTGACTTAGAATATCTAGCATTAGTAGGCAGCAACCTATTGGGAAATGAGCTTTCTAAATATGTGCATTGGTAGAGTGGAAACCTATAGATATAATAAATCTACATTTTTACCTGTCACTTTCAGTGGGACACAGGAGTGACTTTCATTGCACTCGTGTTATTTTTATTTTTTTTTAGACCATCTTACTATCTAGAAATGTCAGTTTTGCTAAATTATCACTTCCATACCACCTTTGTGGAAAAGAAGATTTTTGGCTTACTTTGCTCAAATGACAAGTTTCACTTAGTTAATAGTATTTTTGAGAGGGGAGAGGAACTGCAGTCTTTCCCCCCACAAATTGGAGCATTTTTGAGACCAGATCAAAGGTACTGAGTTTTGCATTTTCATGCACCTTTAACTACCTCAAAGAAAGTGAATGCAATAGCAGATATAATGGACTTGCATGGTGAGTAGTATATTAGGACTAGGATGCTCTTTGTCACCGAGATTATGGTGTCATCCTCCGAATATAATTCAGAGTTTGAAGTAACCTTCAATGACTTCTCAATTTAAACTTTAATCTACACCTCAATTCACATTACAAGCTGTCACACCACAAAATAGCAGCCTTCTAAACTGCGGGTTTTGTTTGTCTTACTGTAGTAAAGTATGTGCTCAGTGCTTTAAAATGCATTGATAGTTTCTTCTCAAATTGTAAATGTCACATTACTAAACTCCTATTGCCTGTGAAATAGCTATGTAATCACTTTTTAACATGGTTCTGAAGTTAGGGAAGAAAACTTCTTTGTAAACTTACAAAATGTCCTTAACTTGTCATGGATAGTTTTATTTACAACAGGTCTAGACAACAGAATGAAATCATTAATGGCTGAAGAGGAAAGAATTTTTTGAATTAGAGCAGTGTGTGCATTTTAAAAAAAATTAATAATTTAGTGTGGAAAATATGCTCAATTATATTTTATTGGCACATAAAATAGCAAGTGTACCACCAAAGTGTGCATGCTTATTATTGCACATTAACACAGAAAAATCCTTGTATACCATCTCTTTTTCCTCAAATTTGTTTGGAAAACCTTTTGGTTATAGTTTCATAATATTACTATCTTCAAGAATTATACTCTTCTAAAATTAAAAAAATAATTTTCAAACTCCATTATGTGATGAGGGCTTAACTAAAGACTTTCCCATTAAGCTCATCCGTTTTCACTGTACATGCTTTCAGCAATATTTACAAATTGCACATGGGATACTTTTATAGAGGGAGTATTGTCCTTTTTAATGCAGTTTACGATGGCGATACCTGCCAGCTTTTTCTTTTGCTGCATTGGCACAGGCATTGTGCTTATTTTGTTGTAAGTGGTTCCAGTATTTGATCAGTTCACTAGGCTGGAACTGATGGGAGGTAATTAGGTGGCTATATTTACAGCTGGAATAAGAAACTCGCCAGTGATTGAAGACAAACTCATTGGGTGGGGGCATAGGGTCAATTCGCAACTTGGCAAGACAGATCCCCACATATACATCCTCTAAGTGCAAGCGTCTGATGCTTAAAGAGACTTTAAATATCTTTTCTGCCAAATCTCCAGAAAAGACATAACCAGTTCCTGAGCAGAATACAGGGTAACGCTCACTTGGATACAGATCAGGTGGCATATACCACTTGCTATCCTTGTTCCTATTAGGTGCATACCCTCTCATTAGGTAACCTGTAAAATATTTGTGCCTTGGAGGCAGTTCTGGCTTCAGAAGCTTATGTATTAAATACTCAGTATTGACAAACATATCACTGTCAGTTTTCATAACATAGGGAACATTTGGACAGTAGGTGGCAACCCAGTTCATCCCCATAAGAGTTTTAATGGTTAAGTTATAATAAGTGTCTAAATATTCTTGTTGAATAATGTCATGGTATTGTCTGCTTTCCTCCAGTATGGCACGTTGAAGGTATCCATTTAGTTTAATGCTTAAGCCCAGCAAAAAAATGCGAACAATTTGGATACCCGGTGCCAGGCTTTCATTACCCCACGTTTGCCGAATAGCTTGTCTAGCTTCCACTTGGCCTGGTTCTGCAGCTATGAGTAGTATTAGAAAAGGACTCTTCTCCTGGCATTTTTCGGGCTCATTTATTATATACTTAAAATGATATGAAGTTGGATGTCCAGTACCTTTCTCATTGTAAATACTTCCATTGGCACTGAGTGTATTCTCTAAACCAGTTACTCCTTGTGGTGACAGGTCAGTGTTGTTGGAATTAGTGACTGTCTGAGGCCTAAGAGTCTGAGGGACTGTATCCTTCCAAATATTCCTTAGAGAGCTGTGGTTTGTCTCGCTTTTTGTAGACCTAAATCCTCGAATAGTGTAAGCCACAGGATTTTCTTTGAATCCAGCCCTGCCTGGCAGCCAGTCATGATGATTAAAGAACAGAAACATAGCAAAAAGAAACACGAGAGAAAACAGACCAATAAGATGGGTGCGAAACAGAGACCTTTTGGTATTCCACGTCATTTTTGCAAAACAGCAGTGTCGTCTTCTCCACTGAAGCATGTTGTACATATCCAACAATGGGATGTGAGATAATGGTTGAACAAAATGCTTTTTCCTTTCCTTTTGAATCCACTGCTATTCTTTGGTATTCATCTTCTGTTATATTCACATTGAGTAATTCTCTGCAAAAGGGTCACTCAGCTGCATAGGTGAAAAAATAACAACCTTTTACAATTCACCTTAAGATCAGGTTTTTGTAATAAAAAGTTACAATGAAAAATAAGTAGCAAATAAAATTTCAATTTTACGATAAAATATTAGTCTCAGTGTAATTATCTAAACAGAAAGTTGAATTCCACACTAAAAGGCAAACTTAATTTTTTTAGGTTAAAATGTACTTGACACATTAGCATTTGGAAAGCGTATAGCGCTTTACAAATTACAAAAAAGCTTTTGCTTTATATGGATAGTGTATCCTAGATATTAATGATTTGTCTTCTCCTTCCCACTGTGCAATAAAAAGTAGTTTGTTCAACTCTGGACAAGAAAGTCTGAAGCTGACTTAAATCAGCTCTATGTATAGTGAATGTAAAACTGTTCTACAATTCTTGAGAAAGGCCAAGTGAAAAGGCTTTGATACCAGATGGGAAGGTTTATTGGCATTAATTAAAATTGATTTGACATGCAGTGGGTAGTATGGCTCTCACAGTCAGAGGCCCTTTTTGTAAAATGGTCATGTTTGGGTAGTGGGACGGACGGTGCAAAGTTGATTATAGCAGAGTTCTGTTAGTCACAGTACACTGCTTGGCATGTTTTCATTGGCCCCTACTGTGTTCAGAAACTCAGTGAGAAGTTGCACCTGTCAACATTAATTTTCGGGGTCCAGTAACCTCACTACAGTTGTCACAGTAACAAATGATAAATGCATTCGTTCATCTTTGACTCACCTTTAACCTTTAGTTCCACAATGAGGGGTTGAAGAGAACATTTTCCTTACCTGAATCTTCTATGGTTAATTTTAAAATGAAATATTTAATTTACTATAGGGACAGAGAGTTCAGTTGTGTGTATAAAATAGGAAGTAAAATTACACAGTAATTTCTCAATTTTTATAGTAAACCACGGATTATTTTTAATGCTTTCCTTGTTTTTAAAGTAACTAACTTGTGTGCTTCTGTTAAAATGTTACAGTGAAGACAAAATTATACTAGCAGCTGCAACTATGGAAAATTTGCTAACGTAGCTTTACAGCATGACTTCCCATCTCCTCATAAATTTATTTTGAGATTCAAGAGCAGAGTCAATATGGCAGCTTCATGATGCTGCATATTAAAAGCTGATCACATCATCTCATAAATGAGCCTTTCATTGCACAGTACAAATTTGTTCGTGATTTTCAATTTGCTCTAATTTATTTCTAGACTCTAGGGTTTTGAGTTGGAAAAAAAAAAAAGCCTATCTTGTAGGAGTCCCATGGAAAACACTTTTTATGTAAATGTGTAATTTATTTAATTACTTCGCTATCTTCCAAAGCCAATATTTGGATTAATTCTTCATTTAAAAAAAGGTAGTGACATGTTACATGGATAATTACAAGATTTAAACTGTAAAGATGTAATTTGAAAGGTTGGCACAGAGATAATTTATTAAATCATACTGTGGTTAGAGATTAAAAATCTTTACTTACTCCTCTCCCCCACCCCACACACACACTTATGTTTGTATGTATATATAGCCTACAAGTCTGTGCCCAAAACATGTAGAAAAATAAAAATGATTCAAAAAAAATTCTACATAAAGCTTTTAAAGTGGTTATATGTCAGACTAAATTTAAAGTGAAAAAATGAATAGATCTTTCTGCAGAGGAGAGCTCATTCAAAATATTTGAATACAGTGCTGAAAGTATTATCTTACTGAATGAAAACTATAGTTCGTCTATCTTATTAACCTCCACTAGGAGGAGCAAGTAAGTGAGGATTTTAACCATGATTTGCAACAATGTAAATGTATCTGAAAAGGCCATATATTTCCAAAATTCTGCTTCTGAAACAGTAAAATATTTGCTCAGTGATATATTAAACTCTTCTATATGAAGATTTTCTGTTATTGTATGCAGTGCCTAAATCCACTGAGTTGAAGTAGTTTTGTCTGAAGTTGAAATTGCTTAGTGGCTCATGTCGTTTATTTGATTCTGAGCTGCCTCTAAAACTATTTTAGAATGTGCACAACGCATACCTGTAACATGGAGGTTAAAGTTGTAAGTGATAAAATTATTTAATTTGAGAACTAACCTGAAATTGTCTGTGTGGGAGGAAATAAATCCCTAAGGTTTTAATTTTGAGCTGATCTGCCTATTCATGAACTTGTGTGTGTGCGCGCGAGAGAGAAATATATAACACAGACAATGCGTTTTATGTGAAAAATCAGTGGTTTGAGTTTTAAATTTACATAAAAGCAAATATAACAGTCTTACTTCAAATGTGTCTGTTCAGCCAACATCTCTCAGTACAATGAATATTTAATGTCAGCTTCTGATGGTGGGGATATATTTGGTAAAAAATTGTTATTCCATTACTTATGTATGTAGGCTCTTGTAGAATTCAGAAACTGAAAATACAAGATTTCTTGAAAAGCTCAATAAAGAATAGCAACTGCAGTTCAGTTTAACTTTGTAGCCACACTGAATTATTCCACTACCACAACTTCCTCTTATTAAATGCAATAATTAATATTTTAATGTTGTAACTTTTTGTTGTGCACCCATTTTTAGTTAGAGGAACTTGAAAGTATCTGAGAATATTTCATGTGCAAATGTGTAGAACGAGCTTCTGAAAACTTGTTTTCAATTAATTTTCATAAGAAAATATTATAGGAATAGAGGATTTTAAAAGCTGAAGCTTATTTAGAATCTGCATGCTTATGTGGTCTGTTTAAATTTTTTAATATGTTACACCTATCCTCAGCTCAAAACTTCATAAAAATTAGGTGATTTCTTCAAATGTTTCTTGATTTTCATGCATTTTACTAAAACCGTATATTCAAAAATTGTATAATATTGCTTGTGTTTAAAAATGTCTGTTCACTAGGCTTGTGGAAATATTTACTGGAAAGCTAAATTAAAACTTGATGTCTTCATTATGTCATTTGTAATTGTGGTTCAAAATATTTTAAAATGCATGAAGGAAATTAAGAATTTTATCTCTAAGTATAATAATAATTGTCCTTTTGGGGAGAGGGGGGGGGAAGTATGACAGATTATATTACCTAATAAAATTTGCCTAATGTTTAACAAACTGTGAGAAGTTGGCAGTATACATTATGAAAAGCATTAATGGTTTTGTTTCCTGCCACTTGACTGTTTTATTAGGTAGAGTATTCTCAAACACTTGTTTAGTCAGTAATATTAAGCTGTATTTTTTAAAAAGCTTAGAATTAACACATCCTGTGTTACTGGTAAGTGGGACTAAACCTACCCAGAGAGTCGAATAGTCACCTTGTCCTTTGAGTGCTATAGTATGCAGCTGTGCATTTTAAGTATATTATTTATAAAAGCTCTATTTGTTTCTCAACACTTGAATGTGCAGTGATTGATGTATTGTGAATAGACAAAGTTAGACTGTAGAATGCCTCTTGAATGTTTTATTTTTGGTCTTTGCTCCGCTTGTGTTTCAGCTCCTTCTATTTCCAGTAGTGCTCAATAATTATGGCTCTGCAGATTGAAGCATTAGTTTCAGCTCTGCATTTATACATCCTGGAATTTCATATTTTGATTAGCTCTGTGGGCAAACCCTTAATTAGAGGGAAAAGTTGAGAAGGCAGCCTGAGAATTGGTGTACTGGTGGTAAATAGCAGCAGGGTTTAAGCACATTATGCAGGGCCTAATATCTATGTTGACATATTAACTACATTAATCCATTGCACAAAATGGACTATGCTCAAACTGATGTTTTCTTTTCTGCTTGTTAAAATCCAATAACTTTAAATCATGAAATTCACAAAATTAACTATTTATCATTCATTGGAACATCTGCTGAGGTTAGTTCTCCCCCCCCCCCCCCCCCACCCCCAAGTGAATTTTTTACAAAATTAAAGTTTTGGACAATTTTAACACGTTATGTTTTGTTAAGGTGCCATTCAGTGTTCAAGTTGCATCATCTTGCTGCATCTTTTGTTAAATTAGACATGCAGACTTTGTCCACAGTTGCATTAGTTTTATTATATGTTAGAATTGCCTGGGACAAAGCAAGCACTTTTATATAATACTCTTTAATCATTTATTATGTTTTATTGATAGATTTTGCAGATAAGGATATTCACTCTGTAGCTCTATAAGATTGTTATAGATTCAGGTCTTTTATTTTTATTGTGATAGTAACATGAGATTCCGGTCTGTTTTTTAATCAATACAGTGTTTTAAGATTACCGAGCTTAAACAATAGATAGAAATGATTTTCAATCAGTTTATCATGGTGCCTTTTTTATAGTTCGAGTTAAACAATCAATGTGTTACATATTAAGCAGAACTTGTAATGATGGCATGATGTAAATTACATGCTCACCATCTTGAGTGATACCAGTGTATTAAGGTTTCCTTTGGGGATCTCAGTGGAGTCTGATACTACTTGTAAAATGTGATGGTTAATTGTACTGCTGGTAGATTAAATCATGTCCATTCTTTTGCTTGCTTTTTTTGGTCTTAAATTAGGCATGCTGATAATATTTAATCTGATGACATTTTGCTTGTGTTTAAGAGCAATATATAGAAAATGCAAGAAGGATTGAAGGTACTACTTAACTAATGTAATTTGACTGCATGGTCTCTTTTGATGGTTCAGGGCACTCAGCGTGTGTCACACATAGCGATTTTACCAGGGCTTTAAGATTACTTCAAATAAGGATTAAATCTGACCTAGTTTGAGAGGATGGTTAACTGATTTTTTTTTTTAAAACGAGGTTTTTAAGTTGAATTTCTCAAATACAATAACCACACATAGATACATTATCCACATAATCCCTCTTCCCTACCCTTAACCCTCAGTTGACAGTGAGAAACATATTTAATAACTAAGAAGTAAAGCAGTAGTGATATTTGTTCTCTGTTGTGTGGGTGCTGGGGGGGCAGGAATTGCTGGAATTCTTTTTCACTGTTCATGGAAATGTTATCTCTGGGAACTATAGGTTGGCAGTGATCTATACCTATAGGATGCAAAGGTAATAGACGAATGAATATCTCACACATGGTTTACACATACCTTCCTTGGTTAGGCCATTTATGTTGAGAGGATTATGCCCACTGAAAATAGTTTTGGCACGCCATCACTTCAGCAAAAAAAGATGCTATCGAACATGCGCACATCCCCCAAACGTCTGCTTCCTGCGATTGCTTTTCACGGTATCCAATCTGTCCATCTGTCTGCTCGTTGCTGTGTTACCTTCCTTGCTTATAAGTGTCCATTTCTTGGGGTCTTTTGTTCATCTTTCAAATGAAAGAACAGTAGCTCTTGCTTGTGTTCCGAGAAGGGTTATCTGTTCCTGACAATTGATGCATTGAAGCTTTTACATCTGGTATTTCCCTTGTCGGACAATGCAGTGCTGTATTCTCTTCTCAGTATCCATATTTCTAGCGATAATGTTAAGCAGCAAGTGCTAGAATGTTGTGGTTCAGTTGCATTCAGTAATGGGATTTATCTCTCCCTTCCTTCCTTCCTTCCTCCTTTGTTGCTAGGCAATAACTGAAAAGGTTTTGAGCAATTTTAACTAAGGGTTTTGGTCTATAAAATCCACTCCATAGTTCTTCAGCTGCTGCACAGGCAGGCAGCAGTTTAAATGTGGGCTTTGACAGATGCTGTCTTCTGACAGAGCAGAATTTAACGTCATTGCTTGGCTGACTCCCACGTGATTGTTTGCATTCATTTTGACTAAATCCTAAGGCAGCCAGAAAGCTTACAGGTTTTTACTTCTATTTGATAAATGATACATATTCAGTACAAGTGTAGTGATGAGTGAATAATATGAAAATAGGATGATTATTAAATGAATGATTGAGTTTGTTTTTCAAATTGTATTCCCTTATCTTTAGTGCCATAACTTACAATTCACTAATGGTTTTTTAATGTTAGACATTCCATTTTCTTATTCTGGATATACTTCTGCAGAGGATAAGAGCTATAAGCTTTTAAATATGTTAGCTTGGGTTAACCTCTTCACTGCTCTGTGAACATGCCTGGTTATTCTGTGTAAAATAGGACCTATGTCCTACTATATTATAATATTAAAATAAAAATAGAATGACCCCACCTGTATTTCCTACACCCATGACTGCTCATGTGGAAACTCCTCTTCATGATCTTAGTTTAGTCAAAGCAGCTGGCAGCAGCTAATGTACAAACACCAAGGCATTCAGCCTTTAGTGGTTTCCTTCATTGGTAGAGGTCACAAAGTTCAGCATTGCAGAAATAGGGGAACTGAATGACTGTAAGAGACCCTGATATTTTTATAAATTTTATTCTTCTTTTGAAATGTCTACAGTATGTAATTTGTCTTGATATTCTTAATACAACCTGTATTAAATTTTCTTTTCTCTCATTTAATATATGGAGATATCCTATCTCATAGAGCTGGAAGGGACCCTGAAAGGTCATCAAGTCCAGCCCCCTGCCTTCATTAGCAGGACCAAGTACTGATTTTGCCCCAGATCCCTAAGTGACCCCTTCAAGGATTGAACTCCCAACCCTGGGTTTAGCAGGCCAATGCTCAAACCACTGAGCTATCCCTCCCCCTTAACACCCTGATCCTTTTATGGCATAGTATCATAGTAAATTCTGTGATGTATGCAGTACATATGCAAAAACGCCTAAGATTTTACCCAATTATAGGGAACACAATTGTACTGAAGAATGAATATTTGAGGATTTATCCATGTTGTCCTTTGGAAACGGTCCACTGATTTTTCATTTCTGCAGCTCTTCTAATGGGACTAGCCATTGCCTAAGATTGAGAATTTCTTCATTGGACTACCATATCAAATGCTACCTCTGACTCCTGTAGTGCACTGGGCAAGTACCTGCTGTATGGAAATTAAATAACAATTCATGCTTCCCCAGGTGCAGTCCATGTGGTTTACTATTCCAGTCGCATGTTCTGATAACTTACAAAAACTATTTACCAAAATATCAATGTATAAAAGTCCACCATGTTAATTAGAATGACCTTTTTTCAGTCTATGTATTTCCAATCCTAATTACAATTTGTGTAAACTCTATTACCCTCTTTGAGGTACTATATACAGTAACTCCTCGCTTAACGTTGTAGTTATGTTCCTGAAAAATGCTACTTTAAGCAAAACAATGTTAAGCAAATCCAATTTCCCCATAAGAATTAACGTAAATGGGGGCGGCGAGGTTGGGGGTTAGGTTCCAGGGAAATTTTTTCGCCAGACAAAAGACTATATTTTATGTGTATATATAATACACACACACACACACACACACACACACACACACACACACACTCTCTATAAGTTTTAAACAATTAATTTAATATTGTACACAGCAATGATGATTGTGAAGCTTGGTTGAGGCGGTGGAGTCAGAGGGTGGGATATTTCCCAGGGAATTCTTTATTGCTAGATGAACTAGCATTGGGCTCAGCCCTAAAGGGTTAACACATTGTTATTAACAGCCTCACACTCTACAAGGCAGCAGGAATGGAGGGAGGAGACACAGCATGGCAGAGAGACAGAGACACGCACTGTGTGTGAGAGAGAGAGCAAGACGTGTGCATTGCCCCTTTAAGTACACTGACCCCACTCTAAGTACACCCTAACACCCCCCCTGCCCCTCCGCACAGCAAGCAGGAGGCTCCTGGGAGCAGCTCCAAGGCAGAGGGCAGGAACAGCATACGGCAGTGGGGGAAGGAACAGCTGAACTACCTGGCAATTGATAGCCTGCTGGGCGGCTGCCGCACAGAGAACTTAGGGGAGCTGATATGGGAGCTGCCGGTTCCCCCTGGTTCCAAGCCCCCACCAGCTAGCTCCAATGGGTTGCTCTTTCTGCAAGCAGTGGACAAAGCAGGTGGCTGCCAACCAAAGTTATAAGGGAGCATTGCACAACTTTAAACGAGCATGTTCTCTAACTGACATTAATTCTCAACATAACAATGAAACAGCGTTAACCTGGACGACGTTAAGTGAGGAGTTACTGTATATTGGTAAAGACTTGTACCTGCTTTGGTTTAAAATAGTGGTTTTAAAAAAGCAAAAGGGTGAGTAATTATAGGCAGTAACTGTACTGCCCAAAGTGTACTGTAAATAATTAAGAATCAGTATTGAGAAAAGTGTGAATGCCTCCTGCCTGCCTACTGACATGTCTGTTCAAACTTTGGGACATATACAACTCATCCTCCCCTTCTTCCAGAACTTAAATATATTAAGGCTTGGTCTAGACTACCACCTTACGTCAGTTTAACTGTCGCTTAGGGGTGTGAAAAATCCACCCCCTGGAGTAATCCAGCTATACCAACCTAACCCCTTGTGTAGAAAGCAGATCGATGGGAGGGCTTCTTCTATCGACATTAGTACCGCCTCTCACAGAGGTGGATTAACTACACCTCTTCCGTCAGTGGAGGTACAGTAGGACCTCATATACGAACACCCTGGGAGTGGAGATTGTGTGTAACTCTGAAATGTTTGTTACTCTGAACAAAACATTATGGTTGTTCTTTAAATTGAATATTAACTTAATACAGTTTTGAAACTTTACTATGTAGAAGAAAAATGCTACTTTCCCTTTATTTATTTTTTTAGTAGTTTGTTTAACACAGTACTGTACTGTATTTGTTTTTCTAGTCTTTGTTGCTGCCTGATTGCATACTTCTGGTTCCAAATGAGGTGTGTGGTTGACTGGTCAGTTCGAAGCTCTGTGTCCATAACTCCGAGGTTCTACTGTAGCGTCTTCACTAAGTACTGCAGTGACACCGCTGCAGTGCTGTAAGTGTAGTCAAGCCCATAGTTTGTATATGAATAGTAACAGATCACACCAAACATGACAGGTTGAAAGCCAACCTGCTATTGTCTGAAGTATTGCCTGGAAAATAAAAAACAATTCATGTAGTTAGTTTACTGATAGTGATTTACATAGGCACATTTACATACTGATAGTGATTTACATGCTTTTGAATATCAACCCACAAGCTGCTGGTTTTTTTTTTGTTTTTTTTTTAATTTGCTGATATTAAACTGCATGTTTGGAAAAAATTGACTTGTCTGAAGTGGAGTAGCTCACTGAAATCCATTTACCGTTTCTATTTGCTTTGTTTGTTGTTTTGCGGCATGGCAAAACAATCTATGAAAGGCTATATATTCCAGCATGCGCCTAAGTGCTATAATGCACGACGATCACAGTATTTGTCTGTAAATGTTTTATTAAAATATATACAAAAATATAAGAAGTCCACTTCTGAAGGCAAAATTTCGATATTGTTTTTGGTTAGTGACCACTTAGTGGTTATGGGTGGCATATTGCTTATGGGTGAATGATTTATAATATATGAAATCCCTTATTACTTATTTCTGTATATAAAGTTCATTGTCATGGCAGGAGACTAAATAAAGTTCAGGTAACCAAGCTGCTATTCAGTATTTTAAATCTTGAATGAACAAACATCTTTGTTACCATTTGCAACCATATTCATGTTTCTAGGGTGAGAGAGCGTCTGTGTTTGTTGTTTTAAAAAAATTTTTTTTTACTAAAATTGAAGAAAGGAAGTGTCACATATTTGCTACTTTTCTTCTTTGTGATACCGCTTTGAAAAGAGGGGAGGGGAGTTTCAAAGGAGTCCCTTTAGAGCGCTGAGTTTTATTCATCTGAATATTTTGGGTCCTTCACTATTGCACTATGTACTTTTTTTAGCCTTGGTGTCTGCTTTTTTATGACAATCCCTTCGTATTTTGGTAAGACAATGCTGGCCTTACTTTCTGGAAATGTAGTCTGAAAAAGATTAAGTAGCCAAAAAGCTGTTTTTTATCTTGAATTAAAATTATCCTTATTTAGGCTGTGTAGCCTTCTCTCACTCTCTCATATTCTGGAAGGCTACTGAACTACCCAGTTGCAGACTTCTAGCCAAGAGATGCTGGGTGTGTTTTTATATTTTTATGAGAACCACATTTTGGGTTGAAATAGAGGAATGTGTAACGTTCATGTCTGATAAACCCTTACTACTGAAAATAAAGTTGAGCTGTGTGTGACGTTCCCTTGGTGTTATCTGGACCAGTGATCTGCTAGGTCACTCCAATCCTCAACTTTGGGAGCCAGCTTTCCCCTGCTCTGCTGTGAGAACCCCCACTCCTGGGCTGTTCATACACAGCCTCTGGCATGTAAGCTGCTTGGATTGTGTAACCGAATGACATTAGCCAATATCTCCGGTCCCAGACACAACCCTAGGAACCTCCATCTTGCAGTGTCCAGTTATGCCCGCTGGACACACTGCAAGCTTATATGA